ATTATATTACTGTTGTTGTTATTATGTTATTAATTTCATATCAATATTGTATTATTATTATATTATTATTATTATATTTGCATTATTAAATGTTTAGCATTATTATTATTTACAAAACAAAACATCTGATATTTGTTTTATTTTTTAGCGTGATTCTTCTTAATTGTAATAAATTCTTAATAATAATAATAACCTTAATCTTAATAATAATAATAAAAATAATAATAATAATCTTCTGCCAAGTAATATAGTTCATTTTAGGTTTCAAGTGCGGCTCATCCAAATTTAGAATCAGTTTTAAGGAGTGGTATTAAATGTGTGTTTTTTTTTAATTGTTATTTATTTCAAATAAATAAACCATTTCAGTTACTTTTGTGGCAGTGTTTTGAGTCAGCATAAAAAGTGTGTGCATAGTTCAATGGATTTAAATCAAAAGTTGACAGTTTAAAAGTTCTAATGCCAATAGAAGGCTACATATGGTATGCGTTCCTTCTGCAAAGATTACTCAGCTTTTTTGTATGCCGACAGCCGTCGGTTTTGGCTCCTTAAAACATAAACAAAATCACCCTGGACTGTAGAGGAAGGACTCAGGTTACTGCCAGCGAATCGGCTAATGAAAATGACGCACATAAGCCTTCATCAGCTGCTGACCATAAACATTATTCTTTGATTGGACCATTAATGCAAAACGGTTTGATGATGCACTGCAGATGGAACAGCATGACAAGGTGCTGCTGCCCTTGTTTTTTTTTGTTGTTTTTTTTTATGTTTAAGATATGACCTGTGTGTGTTAAGCCCTATTCAGATGGGCCTAGTTTCAAATTGAATGAGTTTACAATCTCTAATTGAAAGTTACAATGCAAATGAACTATAGATGTCCTCTTTTACTAACTGCAATTAAAATGGAAAACCTACCCATATGGAATAGTAGTCAATTCAGGCCAGCTTTTTCTCAGTCTGGTTGTAGGTTCGCAGTGTTGCATTTGTAGGGTGCCTATCCTCACTTTGATTTCTCTGAACAACATCTTGATCTCATCAGTTGCACTAGAGCTGTCATCACCCAGGATTCATGCCCTCTACTGACGTTCAGTGTCCTAAAACAGTGGTATAAATAGCTGTGTGTTTGCAGCTGGACACAATATGCTTGCTTTGGCCTGATGGGACATTTAAGTAATTTTCCACATGATAGTGTAGTCGGCAGATTAGATTGTACCCATGATTGAGATAATTATAAGGTCTGAGAGATGTAGGGCGAGTGTAAATTTGTAGAGATACTGTGCTGCTTTTTTCCCGTGATGATGCAGCCTTAAAGAGAGAGTTCTCCCAAAAATAAAAAATTGTTGTTATCTACCCACCCTCATGCTGTTGCAACCCTGTGTGACTTTCTTTTTTCCATGTAACACAAAAATGAGAATTGTGGTCATCCTTTTCTATGCATTTACAATGGTAATGGACCCTTTCAAGCTTACAAGGACACAAAAGCACCAATAAAGTATGATTAAACAAGTATTCTATTCAACTAGTTGTATTAAAGGTATTTTCAAGCCATACTATAGCTTTTATTTAAGATTTAAAATGCGTTAAATCACTGCGTTTGAGTCAGCCGGGTTTCCATCCAAAGTTGTGAATTTAATTTAAGCGCAAAATTGGAATATTGCATAAAACGTGCAAATAATCACCGTTTCCATCCAACGAGTTCAAAGAGAACAAAATCATCACTTCCTGAAAAACTGTCACTAAATATCACTAAGAAAAGTAGGAGAAGCCACTGAATATATATTAATTTTCATATATAATAAATTTCTTGCGCCTCAGAGCGAGCAGACGAAACACAATAAATGTGGTCATTGCTTTCGGAGATGGGTGCTGCTGTTTGGAAATGTGGTTGTGTAAAACAGTTCTGGGAGGCAATTGTGCAGAAATACTTTGACAAATGACGCGAAGATTATACATGAGTTGTATGGGCCGCTTTCATAATGCATTTATGGTGCTTTCTTGTCATTCACAATCCATTTGAATTATATGGATACAAGTGGCCAGGATTCAAAACATTCAAGCTATACGATAGCTTTACGTTTTAAATTGCTGCTAAATGCTGCGTTTGAGTCGGTGAGTTGGACTCAAGAACCAATGAATCATTCAGGCCAGATTTGAGCCATTTCATCCGATTAGAAATATCCTATTTAAAAGAATGATTCATTTATGAATTAATCTTCGCGGCTTTTGCTTATGAATGTTTAATAGATTTTCAGTAAATAATGATGTATGTCTGTATGTTCCTCACATAAAATATTCGTATGGCTTCAGAAGTTTACAAATGGGTCACGGACCACGTTTATGATTCCCTTGTGGTGCCTTTTGCTTATCTGGAACTTTATAACCCACTTTCATTATATGAAAACGAGCGGCCAGGATATTCTCCAAACAAATTACACAAGAGACAGTTAAACAGGTTTTGAATGACATGACAGAATTTTCATTCATAGTGTAATATTGGAAGTGCTGTGTGCATGTGCATTTTTACTGCAGGAAATGGCTTGCAAAACCTTCCTACTGCTTGAGTTTGAAGGCAGGAACCATCTTGGCATCGATTACACACACCGTTCTCCCGCACACTTCTTTTCACCACATGTAGCTTTGCCAAAAAGCTGTCAGTCACGAGCTTTGGAAATGTAAGAATGGCTTTGCTCGCTTTTTTTCCCCAAAGCGTCAGCATTTTGTTCTTGCATGATCACACACACCGAATAAGCCAATTCATGCAGTAGCAGAACCCTAGAAAGTGTGGGTGTAGTGTAGAGACACAAAGCTGTTACAATAACCAGTTATCCTTGCTCGTTTCACACATTGCAGTAGTCCTTTTGTAGTTTGAATATTATTATAACTCGTTAGATTATAATTTTATGATATTTTAGAGAACATTACTAAAATAATAACTGATAGGTTTCCATATGAAAGCTCCATTAACGTGATATATTGCAAGGTGTTTTGTGTGTATGCTTATGAATCTTCTGGATAAATCAATCAGCTACTTGTGTATTCATGTGTGAATGCATGTTTGCTTATTTATTCCATGTTAAAGCACTTCATCATATGTTGATGACACTAGTGGCACTGCATGTGGAAAATTATAGCTGTAACATAACTCGAACTCAAGCAACTGTACTGTAATAATATCTGAGCTCTGGGAATCTCTATAAAGAGAGGTTATGACCTGAACCTGCTGTATAGACTGAAGCAAACTGCAGGTATTGGTTTTCTCTTTTTTTTTTGTTTGCTTTAGTTGTATGTGCAGCCCTTATAACACAAGTTTATTGCTCTTTCATAGCTCAGGAGACTAGATTTCTCTGGTTTGCTTGTTTTTCCTTTCCTTTTTTCTTCGGAGCAATACAAATAGAAACAGAAGAAACTATTGTTGACATACGTGTACAGTAATTGTGGATCACATGACCCAGATAAATGAACAAATTATAAAAAATGACGCTGCGGTTGTGAAAAAAAAAAATACATTTGCTGTTGTGAGATACGATGTCCCAATTAGACTTTATTTTTTGTTTTACTTCCATAGATCGGTTCATATGAGAACAGTTTGTGCTGAGATATCTTCTGAAACTCTAGAGGAGTATACTGGGGTCATTTTTTTAGGAGGAAAGACTTGATTTGCTCTCGGTTTTATCTCACTGCAGTTTTGGAGAAATAGTCAAGATATTAAAGACATCTCATTTGTAATTTTTCTTTCTGATGGATTTGTATGTACTTTTATTTCACAGCAAAGCAAACATGCCAGTTACATTTTCATGTAGAAGATTGACCACATTTGAAGTTTGGGGAACTTCTAGCCAACTGCTGACATTCCAGTTTGCTTCTGCATGTATTTTTCTCATCTGTAAATCACACTGGATAAAATCATCTGCTAAATGTAAGTTTTAGTCAGAACAAGATAAGCAATAAAGCAACTATAATTGGAAGCCCATTTCCGCCACTGAATAAAAAAATAAAAAAGGTAATTGCAACTGTTTATCTTAAAATTCTGACTTTTTTTACATTTCACAAATCTGACTTTTTTAATATAAACTCACAGTTGCGAGTTACAAAGTCAGAACTGCGTGATAGAAACTCAATTGCAATTGCAAACGCAATTGTAAGAAAATGTCAGAATTGTGAGCTGACTTTTTTGTCCCAATTGGACTTTATAACTCGCAGTTGCGAGTTTATATCAGAATTTGCGAGATGTAAATTTTGCAATTTCAAAATTATATATATTTTTTTCACTTGGTAATGGGAACGTTAGAGAAACAAACATTATTTTTACTTTTGAATGTCCTCGAATTGATCCAAAACAAGTAGTAAGTAGTAACGTTCAAAAATGTTTTCAGAAAAAGGTGTTTCATGAACATTGTATAAAACATTTTTTTTCCTTTTTAAGGGAATGTTCCATTTTCAAACATTGCAAACATTATAGGAACATTATTTTTTGAATATTCTCTGAATGTCCTGAAACAAGTAGCAACTTAAACATTTAATTAAAAGACATTCCGTCGACTCCGTCGAGATTCATTTCAGGGATAGATCATCTTTTTAATGTCAGTGCCAGGCCATGTGTAAGCACAGCCTGACTATATTAGCTCTCTCACGCATGTACACACATACTCGCTCACCTCTTTTGTTTATCTCACACACACACACACACACACACACACACACACACTAGAAGATTCCTCAGCCTCTTGATATCCCTCCAGGCCGTGTCCTCTCCTGTGAAATGCTCGGCTTGGTTTAATCCCTGTGTCTCGTCAGGCCCTTTTAATAGGAGCCTCATCTCAATGTCCGTGCACAACTGGAGCAGCCCGCGGGTTTATCTGAGGGAGATAGAGTTTCAGGCGACAAGCTGAACCCCTCTCGGCTTTACCCGTCTGTCTTGTTAAAGTGCAGAGGGAGAAGGTGCTGCTTCTGTGTCACTCTTAACTGCTCATTAATTTCTCCTTCCTCTTTCCGTTCTTCAGCACGATCGAGGCCCACCATGGCGGCACCGAGCTCCAGTGGACTCGAGGTCCTCCTCAGCACATTGCAGGTAAACGCACATTGTTTGTGAACGCATGTATCTGGATTCACTCTCGTTCTTTGACACGTCAAGCATAGGAATGCCCCACTGATACAGGCAGGCACGCTGGGAACACTACCCACACATGCAGGACACTTTCCATGTGCTGAGTGAGAAAGATAAATGACATGGACCCTCAGAACCATAAAAAGTAGCACGTGGTTAATGTAAACGTGTTTACCCCCCTTGAGGCGAATTTAACAACGTTTATGTTAACGTGCGCTATGGAATGCACGCTTGAAATTTTAGCTGGTATTTGCAGATTGTTTGGCGGTATCATCGTGAGCGCTATTTTAAATAGTGTGTACTAAGCAACTTTTTTCAAGGGAAACATTGCATGTTCACTTAGTTTTTGATTCAGTCTTTTGTTTTGTTAAAGTTGCATGCATATTGGATTATACTAACATCTAGTGGTTTAGAGGGAACATCACGCAAATGCTTTAGTTGCAATTGCCATTTAGAAATACACCTTTTGCAGACTTCCATGATAAATATATCCCCATAAAAATTCAGTTAATGAGATTTCTTCTTGTCAGGCTTCATGTGGTGAGCCGCTCCAAATAAAAAATACAACAGTTTATTAATACTGATATCACTTTAAACATATTTTTCATATATATATATATATGTGTGTGTGTGTGTATTTCATATTGTGTGTGTAAAACCTCTTTATTGAGGAAAAACATTATTTTGATGGTATTTGGGATAGAACTCTTTATGCATCGATACAATAGTTAATGTTAGTTAAAAAATAGTTAATATTTATTGCACTCACAAAATGTCTCATATGAATCCAAATTGTACATTTAAATGTGGTTTTAATCCACTTCCACAGCTTATGGTGACTGATTTCTTATCAGTGATTTGTATATACAGGTGCATCTCAATAAATTAGAATGTCATGGAAAAGTTCATTTATTTCAGTAATTCAACTCAAATTGTGAAACTCATGTATTAAATAAATTCAATGCACACAGACTGAAGTAGTTTAAGTCTTTGGTTCTTTTAATTGTGATGATTTTGGCTCACATTTAACAAAAACCCACCAATTCACTATCTCAACAATTTAGAATATGGTGACATGCCAATCAGCTAATTAACTCAAAACACCTGCAAAGTTTCACAATTTGAGTTGAATTACTGAAATAAATGAACTTTTCCACGACATTCTAATTTATTGAGATGCACCTGTATCAGTTGCTGCCAATAAACCGCTGAGGCCTTATATGCTCACAGGAGGGTGACGTGCCGAATTTCCGATAACTTTCTACTTCTTGCATGAAAATCAAACTCAAAAGGGCAGAAATTATTTAGTGTATGCATCAAAGCGATTAATTGAGAGTGAAAACCATAAGATGAGATTTTTTCCCACTATGCTGATAAGAGTATGGAAAAGGGGAAAAGCAAATGCAGTTTGGAAGATCTTTCTGATCTCACCAGAGGGAAAATGTATACTGCTTTAAAGTTACAGAGAACTTGAATACATATCAAGTGTTTGTTAAAGCAAATGATCTTAATCATATAATCCTCACTAGGAATATATGACTCACTAGTTTTTGTGTGTGTGTGTGTATTCTGATCCATTATACTGTAGTCTGAACTACAGTTTTAAGAAAATATATATTTTTGGAAATACTGCAATATTCTTATTTTTCTATTAATTTCAACAACAGACATTTTGAATATTTAGTATAATTCTGTCATGACAACTCTCGGAGAGTTTAGCATGGTAATATACATGGCAATGTTAAAGAGTTTGGTTTTTGCCGAATAGATCTGCTATGCTGCTCCTGCTGCAGAAGAGCAAGTACTGAGACTTGCTACTGCCAATACATCCACTGACATGCTGCTGTGAGCATGTAGGAAATACTGCTGCTGCACATATAAC